CTTTACTGTCCTACTTTCACATCCATACATAATAGTTGGGAATATGAGAGTATAGATGATCTTAACTTTGGTCTTTAATGACATATCTTTGCTTTTGGTGATTTTTCCTAATGCTTCCCATTCCGGGTCTCAGCCTTCTCTTGATCTCTCAGCTGCCATCTCCATTTGAATTGAGACTGAGCCTATGTAAGCAAAAATCTTTGATGTTTTCATTGTTCATGTTAAAGTTGTGTATTTCTTCTGTGGTCACGATTTTTGTCTTCTAGATGTTCAATTGCAGTCTTTCTGTAATGACGAGCAGGAAAAAGAAGGGGAGCACATGCTAAAGAGGACCCAATCAATTTATTTAGCAATATACAATAGTAAAAGACAAAGGCAATTAAAAGAAAGTGCAATGACAGAAGGTAAAAGGCAGTTAAGACTAAACTATACACATCAATAACAATGTTATGCCAAAGAAACTCACCAAACTGTGGGAAGACAACACTGGGAAGGTCAGGAACCAAAACACCTTGCCAGGTCCACAGCTGGAAAACTGGGACGTCTTTCAATGCTGTAAGCTGCATGCAAGTTCCTTCCAATACAATGCCAATTGAGGTCTGTCTTATTTATCTCTTAAGATGCACTTCAGAGCCAAGTTTCTTGTTCCTCCCTCCCCTTAAGAGAATGCCAGTTCTAGGAAAGTCTGGCTGAAAGATCAGTTCATCCGGACAAGCAACTTGCTGTTCCCACCTGGAACCATCGTCCCAAGGCCCTTTAAGGCTTCGCAACATGCCTGTTACATCATTCTTCAGACAAACAGAACTTCACCTCATACCTCCCCTGCCAGGAATGAGACAAGGGAGGAACAGAAGAAGAAAAGAAGCAATGGAATGACATCAGCCAATGAAGGCGAATTTTCCTAACCAAATATCTTCCCCATGCTTGCTTTGGTACTTTTTTCCTTCCCTTTCATCAGAAGTAATTTCAGGTCATTGCTATTTTCTGCCAGTAAGATGGTGTTATCTTCAAATCTTTTTTTTTTTTAATTGGGGAGTTGGGGGAGGAGAACAGTGTTGGGGAATTGGGGAAAGGGACCAGCCAAGTTGTTTCTCTTCAGTCTTCGTCGTGGAGGGTGCCAGTCACCATCTGGCTGCCTGTCGGCAGCTCATGGCCTCTAAGCTCAAGATACTGTGTTCAATCTTAGTTGTGGGTGGGCATAGCTACCATCCAATGTGGGAGTCGAACCAGCAGCTTTGTTGTTAAGAGCACACCCTCTATCCACTGAGCCATCCAGGCGGCAGCTCAACTCAAAGTGCCGAGTTCAGTCTTAGTTGCGGGCAGGTATAGCCCACCACAGAACAGGCAGTCTTGTTGTTAGGCGCACGTATTCTCACCAGCTGAGCCATCCTGCCACCTGTTGGCAGCTCAGCGGCAGCTCAGCTCGGGCGCAGCATCACTGGCCCATGTGGGAATCAAACCTGTTGCTCAGAGCTTGCGCTCTTAAGCTAACTCTTAAACAACTGAGCCACTCGGCCGGCCTCAAATTTTGTTATTGACATTTCTTTCACCAATTTTGACTTCTCCTTTCTCTGAGCCTAGCTCAATTTTTCATAGGATATGTTCTGCATACAGATTAAATAAATAGGGAGATAAAATGCACCGTTGTCTGACACCTTTGCCTATAGGAAACCATTCTGTCTCTTCATATTCTGTCCTGACAGTGGCCTCCTGGCCACAATACAGGTTACCCATCAGGACAACCAAGTGCTGAGGCATGCCTGTTTCTTCAGAGCAACCCATTAGCGTTTCATGACCCATGCAGCCAAAGGCTTTACTAGTCTATAGAGCATAGACTAATCTAAAATTCTTTGGAGTACTCCAGTATCCAACAAATGCTTACATTTAGGTTTCGAGTCCCTCTTCATTTTTCTGAATCCCGCTTGAATGTCTTGCATTTCTTGTTCCATATGAGGTAGAATCCTTTGTTGTGTCACCATGAGCATCACTTTACTTGTGCGGGAAATTAGAGCAATGGTCCTAGAGTTACTGCACTCCTTGGCACCTCCTTTCTTGAAAATTGGGTTGTGTAAATGAACTTTTCCAGTCCATAAGCCACTGTTTTGTTTTCCATGTTTGTGGACATATTCTTGTTAGGATTTTGACGTATTCAGTCTCTGTGGCTTAAAATAATTCTATCAGGATCCCATCTACCCTTGGCGACTTATTTCTTCACAATCAGGGTAGTTTTCACTTCACTTTCTAGATTTTAGTCTCTTTTTATAGGAATCTTCTTCAAAGGTATCTGTCATCCTTTTGTCTCTTCTGTATAGATTGTCAGTACACCTTCCCCCCCCTTTTTTTTTCCTCCTGGTCAGATAATGTGCTTCCTTGTTGGTCATTTAGCATGCCTAATCTAGGTTTGAATTTCCCCTTTACTTCTTGAATCTTCTGGTAGAGATTTCTTATTTTTCCTTTTTGTTGTTCTCTTCTATCTGCTTACATTGACCATTGTATTAATAACAGTGCTCTTTACCGCTTCATGACAGTTGTTGAAAAACTGTATTCAGGATTCTAACCCTGCTTTTGTCACCTTTTACTTTTGCTTCTCATCTGTCTTAGTGTTTTTCTGTCATCCATTTTAATTTATCTTCCTTTTTTACCTCTGGCTTTGTCTTTATGCATTCTTTCCTAATAATATTTCTGGTTTCAGTCTATAGTTCTTCTGGTTCTCAGTCAATTAACAGTGCAACTCTGTTTTTCATGTGGACTTCAAGTTGGTCAGGAATGTTTTCTATATTATATTTTGACATTATGATTTTTTTTAGTACTTCTCTTCAGCTTTACTCTAATGTTTGATATTAACAGTTTGTGTCAATGCCACAATCTGCTCCTGGTCTTGTTTTGGCAGAGCGAATACAAGACAATGATAGATGTACATAAATATCCAGGAAGCTCTGTTCTCCTTTGTTGTAAACCCAAATGGCTTTATTACTTTTTTCTGATGCTAAAATCATGCACATTGGTTATTAAAATAATAATAATAATAGTCATAGGAAAGGATCAAGAAAAAAGTAGAAGTCATCCCTGTGATAGATTACATTATTGGTCAGAATTATTTGCTCCTTCCTCTCCACAATCCCCATGGACAGAGTATATATCTTTACACTTTGATTTTGGCAGGCCCTGTGACTTGCTTTGAGTAATGGATGTGGAGTGACCACAGACATCAAAAGCACTTGTACAATGAGCTTTCACTCTTGTACCTCTGCCATCACCACGAGAAAAGGAGTAGGCAAGGCCACTAAACAAGAGGAGGATGAGAGGCATGTAGAGTACAGCCACTCAGCCAAGCTAAGCCTACACCAGCCAACCCCCAGAAATATGTTAAATAAATGCCTATTGCTGAAGGACATGTTGTTCTTTGTTACCCAGGAAAAGGTAAGTGATGAAATCTTAAATACCCTCCCATAGAAATAAGACTTTCTATTTAGGTATACTTATTCTTCCAGACATTCCTGAATGCAAATAAACATATTAGTATGCAATTATATTTACTGTTCTCTTTGCCTAAAATATTCTTCCCTCACATTTTGTGACAGGCTACTTCATAATATTTAAGTCTTATCTGAAGTTGAATCTCCCTTACTCAGCTTCACTGAGATGTAATTGACATATAACATTGTAAGTTTAAGGTGTACAATATGATGATTTGATACACATGTATATTGCAAAATGATTACCACAATGAGATTAGTTAGCACTTTTATTATTTTTTTTATCTAATTGTTCTGGCTAGGACTTCTAGTACTCTGTTGCATAGAAATGGTCAGGTTGGACATGTTTGTCTTGTTCTTGATTTTAGAAAAAGATATTTTAGCCTTTCACAATTCGGTATGATGTTAGCTGTGGGTTTGTCATATGTGGCCTTTATTTTGTTGAGATATATTCCTTCTATACCAAAATTGCTGAGAGTTTTTTATTATAAAAAGATGCTGAACTTTGTCAAATGCTTTTTCTACATCTATTCAAAATGATCATATACATTTTATCTTTTATTCTGTTAATGTGCTGTATCACATTTAGGCTTTCTTTACCTTTTTTAATTCTTTTTTCTTTGTTCTCCTCTGACTGTATAATTTAAAATGACCTATCTTCTAGTTCTCTAATTCTTTCTTCTGCTTGGTTGAATTCAATCTTAAAGCTTTGTATTGAATTCTTCAGTTCAGTCATTTTATTCTTCAATTCTAGAATTTTTGTTTTGTTTTAAAATGGTTTCTATTTTTTTCTTGAACTTCTTATTTGTTCATAAATTTTATTTACTAATTTTGTTTAGTTGTCTATTTGTGTTTTATTGTAGTTCACTGAATTCCTTTAAGAAGGTTATTTGAATTAGCTGTCAGACAGTTCATAGATCTCTATTTCTTTAGGGTCAGTCATTGGAGCTTTATGTTTTCTTTGGTGGTGTCATATTTTCTTGATTATTCATGATCATTGTGGCCTTGCATTGATGTCTGCACATTTGAAGAAGCTGGCACATTTTCTAGTCTTTACAGACTGGCTTAGACAGAAAATTCCTTTACCTGTCAGTCTTCCCAGAGAGTCTGAGTGGGCCATCTGTCATCTCCACAGGTGGGCTTGCTACTGGAGCCCTTGGGCAGACAGGTTCGGTGACTGGGTCAGCAGGTAGGAAGATCTGATGCTGGGATTTATGGGGACCACACTGGGCTCTGGATCTGTGCCTGGATTCAGGGTCCACAGAGGCCATCCAGTGCTGGGGCAGACTGGGAATGTGTGAAGATTGGTCTGGTGAAGGCCAGTGGTTTTGGCAATCATGAATAAAGTTGCTATAAAATTTAGTGTAAAGGTTTGGTGTGAACATAAGTTTTCATTTTTTTGTGTGTAAATACTTAAGAGGGGGGTTGCTGGGTCATTTGATAAGTGTATGTTTAACTTTATAAGAATCTGCCAAACTCTCCAGAGTGTGTATACCACTGTGCTTCTCCTTCCTTAGCTGAAATAGAAAAGGACATTTTGTAATTAGGTGTCATTAAGCTCACTTATTTCAGTGGTTAAAGAGACAGCTTTGATAGCTTGCCCCTTGTGAGCAGGGAAGTAGTCATCCTCCCCCTTTAAACAGTAATCTACTTTGCATGCCCTTCTTACATTGACAGGGGCCTCCAATGCTCAGATCCTTGAAGTCAAGGGACCCGAGGGAAGAAATGCCAGTAGCAGAGAATTAGAAAAGTTGTGCAGTTAACATCTGATTTTTACTTAATATTATATTAAGTAGAAAATAAAAGAGACTTTGTTGAAACATTTTTAGTAATGTCTTTCTCAAGTTCTGAAATTTTCTCTTATTGAAGGAAAGGTATCAATTTTTTATTTAGGGCCTGATAAGAAAGATGGACTCTTCTCTCACACCTATTAAAATGGCCATCATCAATAAATCAACAAACAACAAGTGTTGGCAAGGATGCGGAGAAAAGGGAACGCTTGTGCACTGTTGGTGGGATTGCAAATTGGTGCAGCCACTATGGAAAACAGTATGGAGGTTCCTCAAAAAAATTAAAAATAGAGACAGCCGAGTGGCTCCGTTGGCTACAAGTTAGCTTAAAAGCGCGAGCTCTGAGCAACAGGGCCGCCGGTTTGAATCCCACATCGGCCAGTGACGCTGCACCTGAGATGAGCTACCACTAGGCTGCCAACAGGTGGCAGGATGGCTCAGCTGGTGAGAGCACATGCTCCTATAACAACAAGACTGCCTGTTCAATGGTGGTCTATGCCCGTCCACAACTAAGACTGAACTTGGCACCTTGAGTTGAGCTTCCACCCAGATAGCTCAGTGGATAGAACGTGCGCTTTTGACAACAAGGCTGCTGGTTTGACTCCCGCATCGGATGGTGGCTACACCCACCCACAACTAAGATTAAACACAGCACCTTGAGCTTAGCGGCCATGAGCTGCTGACGGGCAGCCAGATGGCAACTGCACCCTCCACAACTAAGACTGAAGAGAAACAACTTGGCTGGTTCCCTTCCCCAATTCCCCAACACCGTTTCCCTCCCCCAATTCCCCCAATTAAAAAAAAATTAAAAATAGAACTATTGCATGACCCAGCACTTCCATTTTTAGGTATTCATCCAAAGAAATGGAAACCATTAATTTGAAAAGATCTATGCACCCCTATGTTCACTGCAGCATTATTTATAATAGCCAAAATATGAAAACAACTGAAATGCCAATCAATAGGTGACTGAATAAAGAAATTGTGATACATATATACAGTGGAGTATTCTCTGCCATAGAAAAGAAAAGAATAAAATTTTACCATTTGTAACAATATGGATGGACCTAGAGGGCATTATGCAAAGTGAAATAAGTCAGACTGAGAAAGACAAATACCATATGATCTCGCTTATATGTGGAATCTAGAGAACAGAATAAACAAACAAACAAAATAGAAATAGAATCATGTCCCACATATCAGCCATTGTCACCCTAATAAACTTTAATTTAAAAGAAAAAGAAATAGACTCATGGATACAGAGAACTGTCGCGTCCTACACGGCAAAAGCGGTGGGAGGGCAAGAGGGGCAGCGAAGGGTTAAGAAAAGACAAGAGCCAAGTATCAGGTTAAAGTGGTCCAGGGGACTCAAGTCTCTTGGACTGAGTCCCAAATCGGGCTTACGTGTAGCTTTTATTATCCGCTGCTACAAGGGAGTAAATTTGTCTTTCTCATTCCAGTCTGTTGAGCCTGTGCACCTTGTACCTAGCAACTGTCTTTCCCAAAGCCCAAAGCCCCATTGTGCTCCAACATGTACTATGCCTACACACACACACACACACACACACACACACACACCCCCAGGAGATGGACTCAGCATTCCAAGACACTTCCTTATGACTTCATGCGATCAGTGTGCGGGAACAGTCAGTTCGGCAGTTGTGAGGCTACAGAGAACAAACTGATGGCTGCTAGAAGGGAGGAGGGTTTGGAGGATGGGTGAGAAAGGTGGAGGGATTAGGAAGTACAAATTGGTAGTTTCAAAATAGTCATTGGATCTGAACATATAGTATGGGGAATATAGTCAATAATATTGTAAAACTATGTATAGTGTCAGATGGGTACTAGATTTATCAGGAGGATTAGTTCATAAATTACATAAATGCCTAACCACTATGCTGTATACCTGAAACTAATATAAAATAATATTGAATGTGAACTATAATTTTTAAAAATACATAATCACAGAATGTAAAGTACAGTAGAAGGGATATAGTCAATAATATTGTAATAGCTATGTACGGTGTCAGATGGGTAGTAGACTTGTTGGGGTTATCACTTCGTGAGGTATGTAAATATATAATCACTATGTTGTTTTGTACACCTTAAGCTGAACAAAAGAGTACTCAATGATCTTAAACAGTTAATGGTATTCCTACCCAAGATGATAAACCCAGCCCAGGTTGTGTGGGTTCTTTATCTCTTGGTACAGAAGTGTTCCAGATTGAAAAATCATTCTTATGTGGCTAAGCAAGGGTTGAAAGACTGCCTTGCTTATGAGACGGCCTTTCCCAACATCCATCTACAGGGGGCTTGTACATCTCACACAATGAGCAACCAATAAAAAGTCAAAATCGAAATTTAGACTCATAAAATTACACGATAATTTCTAGTGAAATATCTGTGTTACAAAACTATCTTCTGAAAATATTTGAACAAACATAATAGAAGGCTCCATCTTTCTTTTCTTTTTTCTTTTCCTTTTTTTATTATTAGTTTCAGGTGTATTGACTCTATTCCTTATGCTGTGCTTTACATGCCCATGACTATTTTTATAACTGCCAATTTGTACTTCTTAGTCCCTTCTCTTTTCACCCAGCTCCCCTCCACTTTCCATGTGGTGATCATCAATTTGTTTCTCTGTATCTATGAGTTTGTGTCTGTTTTGTTTGTTCATTTATTTTATTTTTTAGATGCCACATATAAGTTAAAACATATGGTATTTGTCTTTCTCTACCTTACTTATTTCACTTAGCATAACATCGTCTTGGTCCATCCATGTTGTCGCAAATGGCAAGATCTCATTCTTATTTATGGCTGAGTAATATTTTGTTGTATACATGTACCACCTATTTTTTATACATTCATCTGTCGATGGACACTTAGGTTGCTCCTATAGCTTGGCTATTGTAAATAATGCTGCAATGAACAAGAGGTGCATATATCTTTTTGAATTCATGTTTTGGATTTCTTTGAATAAATACCCAAGAGTGGAATTACTGGGTCATAAGGTAGCTCTATTTTTAATTTTTTGAGGAATGTCCGTATTGTTTTTCATAGTGGTTGCACCAATTTCCAATCCCACCAACACTGAGCAAGGGTTCCTTCTTCTCCACATCCTCTCCAACATTTGTTGTTTGTTGATTTATTGATGATGGCCATTTTGACAAGTGTGAGATGATATCTCATTGTGGTTTTTATTTGCATTTCTCTAATGATTAGTGATGCTGAGCATCTTTACATATGTCTGTCAGCCATGTGTATGTCTTCTTTGGAGAAATGTCTATTCATATCCTCTACCCATTTGTTATTTGGATTGTTTGTTGTTTTGGTGTTGAGTTGTATGAATTTTTTAAAATAAATTTTGAATATTAACTCCATATCAGATGTGTCATTGGTGAATATCTAGCATGAGCCAAGACAATGGTTTATACAGAAAAACCACTGGAAGTGGCTTGGGTCGGCCCAAAAGTTGGATGGGGCAGGGTCTCAGGTAACCAAGACAAACAAATGGTGTTAGCCAGGTGGATGTTGGCACTGCCTGCGTCCACATGCTGGGACAGAGGAGGGCTCAAAAAAGAAACAATACCTTCCATCAGCTTGTCCATCTGGAAGAAAGCTGCTCTTCCAGTCCTCGCCCTAAAGCCAGAACATTTTCTTCCTCTCCTTATGTCCTTGGGACCTTTCAAGCTGTCCCAGTGAGTGAGTCTGTCAGCAAGTACATCCATGTGAGGGCCCTTTAAGAGGAGTGCCTAGGAATGCAGCCACCTTCCGTCTCACTCAGCCACATCTTAGCTGGTTTTCATAGCCAGAAGTTATGGGGACTTCTCACTCTAGTACTGGAACCCTGTGCTGGGGAGCCTGGTGTGGGGCCAGGACCCCTCACACCTCTGGGGGAACCTCCACAGCTGAGCTATCCCTCCCGATTTTTAACTGCCACATGTGGGTGTGGGACCAGCCTGTTTCATGTCTCCACCCTTCCTACCAGTCTCAAGGTGGCTTCTTCTATATGTCCTTAGTTGTGGGGCTTCAGTTTAGCTGGACTTCAGGTGATTCTCAATGATGGTTGTTCTGTAGTTTAGTTGCAATTTTGATGTGGTCATGAGAGGAGGCAAGCACAGTGTTTACCTGCTTCGCCATCTTGACCAGATCCAGACCCTTTACCTCCTAATTTATACATTTAAAATTGTGTGCTGTTCTTGAGTAGCATGATGAAATCTTGCATCATCCAGCTCTGTCCCACTTGGGATGTGAACTTTCCCTTTGTCCAGCATATCCACAGTCTATATGGGCTTCCTGCCAGTTAGTTACTTAGTAGTCATCTAGGTTATCAGAAGGACTGTTGCTTATCACAGGGATTGTGAGCTGTAATCATCATTTCACTAATAATGGTCCCAAAGCCATTCACATAACTTTTGTTACAGTATATTGCCATAATTGTTCTATTTTGTTATTAGTTATTCATGTTAATCTCTCACTGTGCCTAATTTATAAGTTACACTTTATCATAGGTATGCATATATAGAAAAAAAACACAGTATATATAGGGCTTGGTGTTATAAGCCTTTTCAGGCATCCACTGGGGGGTCTTGGAACATGTCCTCCATGGACAAGTGGGGACTCCTCTATACATAATAATACCACAAGCATAAACCTTGAAAATATTATGCTAGGTTAAAGAAGCCAGTCACAAAGACCACATAGTATATGATGACATTCATATGGAAGTCAAGAATAGAGAATCTCTACAGATAGAAAGTAGATTAGTTGCTGCTTAGAACAGGGAATTGGGGTAACAGGGTAGGGGAATAATACCTAGAAGGCACTATATATATATATATATATGTAATATATATATAATAATTAATTATATATAATATATATAATAACTAATTATATATGTTATATAATATATATATTAGTTTCAGGTGTACAAAACAATGCAATAGTTATCCTTTTCATCCCTCACAAAGTGACAACCCCCCTCCCCGCCTCCACTGCCCCTTCACCCCCGATATCATACATGTCTATTATAATTCTATTGACTCCATTCCCGCACTATACTCCACATCCCATGACTATGTATGTATTAAATTATAGTTGACATAATATTATTCAATGACAGCTTCAGATGTATAGAAGCTATTATACTTGACATGATAAAAATGTTGTAAAATTGACTATGGTGATAGGTGTATCTATCTATGAATATACCCAAAACCATTTAATTGTATACTTTAAATGGGAGAATTTATGATATTTGAATTATATCTCAATAAAACTTTTTAAAGTAAAAAATCCCAAAGTAAAGAAAATGTCCTCTCTGATTCATATGTCCTGTTTGGCTCTTCATACCAGTGACAGTATAAAGACAATTGATTCACCTAGTTTTTGAGAAGAATTTATGCCAGTAAAACTAATTACTTCCAAAAAATAAAAGGGATATCACCTCTCTCAAACCTACCTCATACCATCTGGTGTTGCCCCAAACCACCTGGGGCCCTCTTCTTCCATCCTCACCTTCAACATGTATCCTGTTTACATCAGAATCCTGGCCACTCTGGTCTGTCACTCTCCAGAGCTGGGTTAATCTTCTTTGCTAGACTGTGAGCTCCATGTGATCAGTGAATAAGTCTATCCTGATTACTGTTACATAATAGATCTTTTCATAGGTCCTCACTTAGAACAAGAAAGTATGTTGAAGGACTATAATGCCTTATAATCCTCAGAATTTCTAGTATCTTTTTAATTAGCTCTTATCAATGAAAATTAAGGCTCTTTGAGAGTCTAGAGCTCTTCTGTTTTACCCAGAGTGAAAGGTCAGCAATTCCCTGCTTCATATATTAGACTTGTATGTAACATATTTTGAGAAAGGTTTTCATAGCTAAAACAGTTTGATGACCATTGGTTTGCTGACCTTGAGAAAGACGATACCTACCAAGAACGGATCCTGTGGCTAACTGGGCTTAAATTTACAAATACAGCCTAGCAGCCATTGCTAAACAGGGGCCTCTCATGCAAGCCACTCTTCAGGGAGAAACCTGCACTAAACTGCCTGCTGTCTGCATTGAACTGCCTGTCTGCATTATGTCCCTGCTATCTGATCCAAACCTTATAAAAGAGTTCCTGGAATCGTATTTCAACCAATAGGACTGAGAATTTCCCTGCCCAGTTGGAGTTGCACAGCTATGTCCTCATTAGCATTTTAATTGACCAAACAGAGTGGCCCACTCTGACCATTCAGAACATTGCTTTTTGGACCAGTCAAACTGTGAGGATTTGGAGTCCTCATTTACATGAGTGCGGACCAATCAGGGACCAGGGTCAAGGACTTATCTCTATATAAGTCAGCTCCCTGTAGAAGAGTGCACTTTCCCTTTCCACTGAAGACTAAAGCCTATGTTTCCCCAGCTGAAGCTGAAGACAGTCTTGCCAGAGCAGGTCAGATCAGAGCAGAGCTGTCTAGCCAGAAAGGGGCCTTGCCCGGGGGGGGGGTGCATCACTAGAGGGACACCTCAGTCATGCTGGTCCATGGCCGTGGGGTATCACAATTGGGCTGTTTGCACTAAATAAAGTTTCCTTCTTCATCACACCCCAAACTGGAGATTCCTGTAGGCTTTGAATTGGCACCAACATCCATCAGTTGACAGTCTGTACACTTATAAGGGTGTTTGTAGCGCTGAAACGCGATGTTTATGGAAGGAGCACGATGACTTTAATGATGTATATTTGTATGTTTGTGTCTGTGGTGGCACGCAGATGTGACACTCAGTTCCCCCTTCAAGAAAGAACTTGTGGCCGGCCGAGTAGCTCAGTTGGTTAAGAGCTCGCTCAAGAGTTTGAGCTCTGAGCAACAGCAGTTCGAGTCCAGCCCGAGCTGAGCAGCTGCTGAGCTGCCAACAGGTAGCAGGATGGCTCAGCTAAACAAAACAAAACAAAACAAAACAAAAAAGAAAGAACTTGCTGGGTCGGCTGAGTGGCTCAGCTGGTTAAGAGCTTGCTTGGGACGCCAGCTCTGAGCAGCAGGGCTGTGGTTCGGATCCCACATTGAGGGCCAGTGACGCTTGCCCTCTGCAGCTAAGATGATGAACAACAGCTCGACCTGGAGCTGGGCTGCTGTGAGTCGCCGGCGACAGCGTAGGCTACAGTGGGGCTGCAGTGGGCTGCCGTGAGCTACGTGAGTGGCTGGCAGCCAGCGTGAGCGGCCGGCAGCCGGTGTGAGCTCCCGGGAGCTGCTGTGAGCGGCCGACCAATGACAGGTGACTGATTGCCTCACTCGGGAAGAGCATAATGATAATACCAACATGGGCCAGTGAAGCAACGTCCTCCACAACTAGACTGAAGAACCAAAACAGCAATTTGTCTACCTGTCTGTTCCCCTTCCCTGATTCCCCAACAGTGTTCCCCTCTGCCCAATTCCCCAATTAAAAAAAAAAAAAGAAGAACTTGCCGTTCAGTTGCAAGGAGTGCAGTGAGCTGACAGTCTCCAGCTACAACACCTTCAGAATCTACCTTAGCTTGGAACAGAGTCCATGCTCTTCCAAGAAAGCTCCAGCCAGTAGCTGAGGACAGCTGTGGTCAAGGGCATGACCATTTCTTGCCCAACATGAGACATCTCTAACAGCAGTCTTCATTTCAGAGGTACCTACGAGTATTAGATAAATCGCAACTCTGCAGGGAGGTCTGAGTCTTTCCCTACCCAATTCTACTCCTCTTTACTTTAATGGGTGTCAAATCTGCATTTTGGTCTGAAGACTTTTCCTGACCCATTCTGCTTCCTTCCTCTTTTGTCTTTCACACATATTACTTTCCAATAAAATGATGCACTCCGAACACCATCTAAGCCTCTGCTTCTCAGAGGACTCAATTCACGTAATGAGCATCATGGCATTTACATTCTAAGTCTCAAAACTCACTTCCAATTTTGCAAAGTCCCCTATTGTGTGACTCTTCATCAAAGGAAAGTCTTTGCCTCTCGCCATGGAAGCTGAAGGGACCATTAAATCTTGGTCACCATACCCTGAACCCAAAGGCTTTAACATCTGATAGTGGCTTGACTAATTGGATCATCCTGTCTGAAACTATGAATCTTACGTGAGAAAGTGACAACAAAAACACAGATACAACCACAAAGTTGTCTGCAGCAGGGGCAATGGGTCAAGAGTTCCATAGCAGTGGTGTTTAGTGTCCCAGGGGTGGGCATGTGTGTGGTAATACAGCTGCAGCCCTTAGCTGATGGTACTAGATATTATCTTTGCAGTCATTCTCCTGGCAAAGCTTCTTTATTTTTCCTACTCATATTCTTCACCTGATTTCCCACTGATTTTGTGAGCTAGCCATTCTCCTTCCAGTAGCCAGCAGCCTTTTCTGCTTAAAATAGCCAAAGCTATTTTGTGTTGATTAAAAACAGGAACCCTGACTGTTATGGGACTTAAGGGTCTCTGGGGGCTTCGGGTTGAGAAAGAAGTAGTAAAAGATGAGCTGTTATCCCTGGAGTGATGCCTGAACCCCTCTTTCTTTCATATCCTACGTCTAAAAATTAGCAAACCCTGCAATCTCAGCATCACAATAGATTCCATATTCATCAACTTCTTCCCACCTCCACTGTGTTCTGCTGTGTCTGAGCCACCATTGTCATTGTAGTAGCCTTCTAATTGGTCCTTGCTTTTGTCTTACCCCTTCCTTCAATTTTTTCATCATACAAAAGCTAGAGTGAGCCACTTAGAACATGTCAATACATGTCACCTTATGCTCACCAGCCCCCCAAATTCCTCCATCTCACTCAGGTCTCCATGGAGGCTCATAAGGCCCCAATCAATCTGGCTCTTTAACTCTCTACCCTCATCTCATTGTTCATACTCTCTCCCTTCTTCCTCCACTTCAGCCCATGTGTCTTCTGTGGATTCATGTACACATGCAGCCTTCTGTCTTAGACTCTGCTCTTTTTGTTGTTTTTGGGTTTTTTTTTAAGCTGAGCCATCCTGCCACCTGTTGGCAGCTCAGCGGCTGCTTAGCTCGGGCCGGAAATCGAACTGCTGTTGCTCAGAGCTCAAACTCTTGAGCGAGCTCTTAACCAACTGAGCCACTCGGCCGGCCCTAGACTCTGCTCTTTTTAATTGTTCTTCCAGGAACACTCCCTCCCAGATATCTCCATGGCTTGCTCCTCATTGCCTTGTGAAACCACCCATGACCACTGATTTAAAACACCAACCCTGGAATTCCTTATCCTACTTCCCTACTTTACTTTCCTAACATAGTATGTCATTTGTTTATTTATTATGTTTATTCTTCATTGTCTACCTTCCACACTACAATGTAAGCTCTATGAGGGCAAGAATCTTGTCCCTTTTATTCACTGATGGATCCCATGCACCTGAAGAGTGTGTCGGCACGTGTTGGGTATTTGATAAATATTGGTTAAATAAAATGAATTATGGGGGAAAGCTTTCATCAGCTGAGCAAGTTGATGGAGTTTAGAAATGGAATAATAGAACTATGGGTGATTTAACTACTCTTTAAAATGAACTGGAGAGTATTTGGAGTTGGAAGTTCTAAGAACAACCAGGGAACCAGGTTTAGGAAAGGAGATGATGAGGAGGGAGAGGTAATGAGCCAGCAAGACGGTTGAGGCTGGGGTATTACAACACAAGGGTGGCCCAACAAGTAGGAAATCTCTGGTGGTGATCTGGCAGAAAAGATACTTAATAACAAGAAAGTAAAAAAGACCATTTTGAGTTGTTTGCAGTGCCCTACTGACGTCACACACACAATACACAATAAACTTGCTATACTCAGTAGTCTTGAATTCCTTGTTACCTTTGTGTGTGGGGGGGTGGATATAAGGATCAAGGAGAAAAGATTGTGACCCATATTTTGGTCATTATGAGGGCAAAGATAAAGGAACACCATAAAGACATGGAATCTACAACAAGAATTTGGTACAGACAGAAACCTAGCCAAAGGTGATCAAGTATATGAAAAATATGCAGGCTTTGGCTGAAATCTTGGACAGGGTGTTGCTTTTCTACTGGATGGAGAAGATATGCAGCTCTATATTTTCAGGTGACCCTTGCTGACCTGTGACCCCCATGACAGTAGTAACAGTGCCTTCTCTTAGGGCTGTTGTGAGAATTTAGGGAGATTAGGGTGGGTGACCCTGTCCATTTGGGCAGAGCTCTGTCCTCCCACGGGGGCGCTCAGCGGGCCACAAGGCAGAGCTCATAGGTCGGGGGGATGTTGCCAAAGCCTGAGACTTTGGGCGTGATATCGATGTCAGCAGGTGGCACCAGCGGGCGTAGAGAGAAGTTCTGAAGGATGGAGGTCAAGTACAGGAAGAGCTCCATGCGGGCCATGGCCTCGCCCAGGCAGATGCGCTTTCCTGTGAGCACAGGGGAGGGCAGGAAGGCAACTTACACTTGCGCTGCGATGGAGGAGTGGGGAGCCTTCTGACCCCCATCACCCCTCTGAGCCTCAGCTAACTTCCTCAGCCTCTCTGGGGTCATGATACTACCCACTTTATAGGGTTGTTATAAAGACTCAGTGGGTTCCTATCGTTAGTGCTCAACTAGGATACGCCACCCAACACGTGGCAACTACTTCTGTGATGGCTCTGATTCCATCAGATTCCAAGATGGAATGGTTGTAAAGGACCCTCCAATTTGAAGATTCTGATTATTTCAATTTCTCAAAGGTTTATAAAACCCCTAATTGGTGCCAGATACTGGTGAGAGGGAAAGAAATGAAAGCTCACACTTAAGTAGTGCTTATGTCAGTCACCGTTCTAATGGCTTCATGAGATTAATCTCCATTATGCAGACAGGGAACTGAAGTAACTTCCCCATGGCCACACCATTTGTAAGTGGTAGAGTGGGAGCCTCTTTTCTAACCACTGGTCACTTTTATAGTACAATGGTGGAGGTGAGTAGTTCAGACTGCATAGTCCAGACAGAGACCATATGGCTAGAAAAACCTAAAATGGTTTCTGTTGGGTTGTCAGAAAAGGCATGATGCATTTTTGCAATGAAAAACATAGAAAAAATACATCATGACTTTTCCGACAACCCAATATTTGGTCCTCAGTAGGGAAAGTTTGTGCTGTTACTTTTCTTAGTACCATAGTTAATGGTTCTAATAGTCTATGATTCTGGGGTTCTAGGATTCTATAAAATAGCACTCAACTTCCTATTCAGACCTGAACATCAACTACCGATCAATGGCTGGGTGACATATCAAACATGTTCCTGGGGGAACTCAGAGCATAGAAACCTACCAGAAGAAAAAGGCACAAAGGCTTCATTCTTTTTGAAGCGGCCAGACTCATCCAAGAAGTGTTGGGGGTAGAAGGCATCTGGGTAGCGGAAGTATTTTGGGTCTTTGAGGACTGAGCCAAGCAGGGGAAACACATCGGTGCCCTGGGGTGAGAATGGAGGTAGTTAAGAGAAATCAGTGTTGGAGTATGGGGTAAGGAACCAGGGGGAGCGAGGGGTGCGGTGGAGGGAAAAGGGGTGACAAGTGTGTACTCCACCTTGGGTAGAAAGTAGCCTCGGAAATGAGTGTCTCGGATGACGTTATGGGGGACACCCATGGGCACGATATCTGTCAGTCTCTGTATCTCGTGGATCACGGCATCTGTGTAGGGCATCTTGACTCGGTCATCCACACTTGGGATCCGGTGTGGTCCTATCACCTGGTCAATCTCTTCATGGATCTTGACTGGAAGGGGTCAGAAAATACAGCAGACAAGGACACAGGAAGTGTTTCTAGAGGCCAGGGTTGGGCCATGGGCTTGTATCTTCACAACCTGTGGACCCTGAGGGAGCAGGCCATGTGTGTTTGGGTTGCCTCTTTAACACCTGACACATTGGTGGGGTTAAAAACTACTCATCAGACTATAGAGGAGGCATGCAGCCTGGATCCTTGGCTAGTTGGGACATTTGGTCTTTATCTTGAAAGCACCAAGGAAGCATGGAAAGCTGATGAGCAGGGCAGTGTCCTGGTCCCAGCTGGGCTTTCACACACAGAGTTTTGGCAGGATAGGAAAGAGGCTCAATAGGCAACTAGGACAGGATTGAAACAAATGACAATTATGTGACAGTGATTAAGAACGCTGTTGATACAGTTAACCCCTGTCTGCACTTCCTGGTTGAGTGACCTTGGGGCAAATGACTTTACCTTCTGAGCCTCTGTCTCTTCATCTTCAAAATAGATGTGACAGTCTAACAAGCTCATAGAGTTGTAAAATTTACATAAAATTCAACATGCAAGTAACTAGGACAGTGCCTGGCACATAGAAAGTGTCCATTACATGTCTGATTACTTAGATTAGTAAAAGACAACTTGGATAATGGAGGAGAGACTAGAAGAGTTTGAGTGGAAACAACTTAGTCTCCCCCATCACCTGTACAAGGAAAACTTTATTGTCTTCTTTTGAACTGCATTAGAAGGAAGAAAAATGGATATTTTCTTTAAATAAGTAATGAGCTCCTCATTACTGGAATTATCCAACTGGACCAGATTGCAATTTATTGGAGATGGATTCTGTTTGATTCAGGCACTGTAGTCAGCTCAATAATGGCCATTAAAGTTATCCATCTTCTAATTCCTGGCACCTGTGAATGTGACTTTATATGACAAAGGGACTTTGCAGATATCATTAAATTAAAGATATTGAGAAAGGGAGATTATCCAGAATTACCCAGGTTGGCTCTAAATATAACCAGAAATGTCTGTATAAGATGAAAGGAGTAGGGTCAGAGTCAGGGAAGGAGGTGTGACAATGCAAACCATAGATATTTGAAGATCTATGTTGCTGGTTTTGGAGATTTAGGGAAGATCATGAGCCCAGCAATGAATGGAATACAGCTCCAAAAGGAGGAAAAGACCGGTAGTCATTCTACCTTGGTTCAACCCAGTGAAAGCCTATTTGAACTTCTGAACTCCAGAACTACACGATAATAGATTTATGTTGTTTTAAGCTACTAGGTTCCTAGTAGTTGACAATAGCAGCCATAGTAAACTAATAAAGCACCAAGTACAAGATTAAATTAAATGGCCTTCCAAGCCATAGATTCTCTTTCCTGATATTCTAGAGTGTGAAGAGTCTAAGCCGTAGGGTCCAAAGGTTCCAAGGTTATGCCTTCTTTCCTGCTGGGAGTGGGAGTCACCAGGTAAGCAGCTCAGGTGGACACTCACCTTCCACCTCAGGATGTTTCATCAGGAGCAGCAATCCATAGCGCAGGGTGGAGCTCACAGTCTCAGTGCCAGCAAAGAAGAGGTTGAGAGTGGTGAGGACCAAGTTCTTGAGGTTGAATTCCGTGTGGGGATTATTTTTATCCTGAAAATGAGTGGAATAAGAAATAGAGTCACGCTTTTCTGTCTTTATCTTGTTTTCTTCTTTTGTATATGGCAGGTCTTTGTCAAAACACCTCAGATGGATAAACCAAGTGGATTTCTGGGAGAGGGAACAGCCAGGGGAAAGGTCCTGAGGCAGGGAGTGTGCCTGGTGTGTTAGAGGAACAGCAAAGAGGAGGCTAGTGTGGTTGAAGTGGAGTGAACAATATGGACAGTGGGGAGAGAAGAAAGTAGTATTGCCTTGTCAGGTTTGAAAGTTCTAGAACATAGGGCACATAATTTTAAACTTTCAAGTGCTGCTGTTCTCTATTAAATATATATATATATATTTCTAAAATTTTAAGAATCTATATACAGAAGTATTAAGCTTCTAAATTTCTACATCTCTGAGACTTTAAACTTTTAAGTTTAAAGTTTAATCTCTTAAGTTTAAAGACTAAATGTCTAAGCCTCTCGAATTCTAAAACTCTAAGACTCAGTCTACTTTTCTACAGTTATAAGTCTATGGCAGTTGTAATCATACATGATTTAAAAAGATAAAAATTTAAGTTTCCATGTTCTTAAAAACTTTAGATTCAAAGTTTATTTTAAAAGTATAAGCGTTTATACCTTTATAGTGTTTGTATCTCATCTATAAATAAAAGTACACCATGTGAAAAAAAATGCTTGCTTTGTTTTTTGGCTTTAATATGTTTACAAATGAGTTGCAGGTGTTAGGGATTGAGGAGCTGAGAATAAAGGGATGGGGGAGAGGAAGAGGTACCTGGTGCATCTTGATAAGGAAACAGTCAATAAAGTCCCGAGGGTTCTGTGGGTCAAGGGATGCTTCATTGATCTTGACCCGAGAGGCAATGAAGTCCTTGAGCTCTTCTACCAAGTAATAGATGCGATTGTGTCTTCCTGGCAAATATTGCATGACACCAGAATACATGTCATATAGCTGTGGGGTATAGGCAAGGGGGAATTTGTCAGCAATGGGCACCTGGGACCAGCATGGGCTGAGTCTGGAGTCAGATAGCTGGGCTCAACAGCCCACACTGAGTCTGAGAGCTAGGTGAGTCCATTTACTTTTTGGAGACTTGGGGCATATTGATACTTGCCTCCCAGGGCTTTGGGGAGGATTAAGTAAGATAGGCAAGGGCTTAGTTAACTGAAATTGGGGGATGGGCAGAGAGGTGGCTGGTCGTCACCTGTGCCCAGGGTGTGCTCATCTCAGTGAAACTCTCATTGATCATCTGCAGAAGCTTCAGGAACTGCTTGTCCTCATAGTCAAAGCGGCTTCCAAAGACGACAGAACTGATGACATTGGAGACAGTGCGGCTCAGGAAGAAAGTGGGTTCGATGGGAGTACCTGGGTGATGAAAATTGTGTTGGAGGCAGTAATTGGGAGCACGGGACGTGGAATCATTCAGTCGTGGATATGAGTCCTGGTTCCATTGCCTAATAGCATGTGTTAATTGTTTCATTCTTGTGTTTTGAATCTAGATTTCCCAATATGCAAATTGGTTTAGTAACACTTCACTGGTTCATGAAGATTCAATATAATTATTTATGTAAAATGCTTAACGCAGTCCCTGCCATGTAGTAAACACTAAAGAAATGCTGGTGGAGCTGAATCACTACTTTTTGGTATTAGTATTTAATTGTGTTTATGCTGGAGTGTCACAGATTTGGGAAAGAAGTCATAGTAAGGGATACATTATATAAAAAAAAAGGATGGCTGGATTCTGTGTGTCTCTATCAATGATTTCATTTGACCCATTAAGAAAATCCTTCCCTTGGCCTCCAGTGCGCCATCTATAGAACAGGATGCTTGTCAGGTCAGTGGGTTTGGAGACAATTTCTCCAGAACAATGCCCATATTCACAAATATACAATTTTGCAAATAGTTTCTGGGGGTACACGGACATCCAAAGCATTTATGCAGATTATTTAGCATCCATAGAGACCAGGTGAGGAATCTCTGTTTTAGAGAAATTATCTCTATTTCTGTCTCTTATCTATTCATCTCCATTTTTCTCAGCCTCTGAATCTTTTTTCTATAGACCCCAGTGGTTCCAGATCTTATTTTTCCATGGGGATCAGATTCCTTAAACTATGTAATGAAATCGGTATAGAATTTCAGATTTGCAAGATGAAAAAGTTCTAAAGCTCTTTTTGATTTTCAGAACAATGTAAGTATACTTAACCCTACTGAAAAGTACACTTAGGAATGGTTAGGATGGTAACATTTTATGTTATGTGGTTTTTACACAGTTGTATGTGGGTATGTTTGATCCTGTCACCAGAAAAAGGCACAAACTCACATATTGTGAAACCACTGATTAAATTTGCTAGACAAGTGGTCTCTAAGGGTCCTTTATGTTAACTTTTAATATGGAAGCTGGCTGGAAATGTCAGTAAATCCTTAATCTTTTCATCCTCTTCCATTTCAGAGCTTTCTCCCATTAAGGTCTATCACGTCATTACTGAGTTCTCTACAAGCTCCCAGTAACTTTGTAGCCCTCCCTCTTGAGACCCTCATACCCTTGGTCTTCTGAAATTCCTCTAGTAGGAAGCTGGCCTCCTCCTGGATCCTCTCCTCAATGCTCCGCTTTCCCATTCCGAAGTCGCGAAGGATGGTCAGGGAGAAGCGTCGAAGAATCCTCCATCTTTCTCCATTAGCCAGGGCTACACCTGCCAGAATCTCAGTGTCATGCTTCTGCCTCCCTCCCTCCCCTTCTTGTGTCCCACTCTGTGCTAGACAAGGATGAGCACAGATTATTAAAGCTCTAGACTCTGCTCTCAGGGTTGCCCCTCCCAACCTCCCAGGCTTGACAGGGAGACTAAGGTTCCCTACGGGACCCTCAGAAACAGTTCAGGACTAAAGTGGAGGAAAGGGAATTGGGCTAGGAATGATTGGGGGAGATGAAGAAGAGTTTCTTACAAGACAAAGATCTGGAGTTGGATAAATAACTGGATGGGTGCATAGAAATGTGGAAGGAAGTATAGCTAAAATGTCATTTACAGTACCCTGGAGTCAGAAGACTATATGTTTTATACCTATACTACTTGGATTCTTTAGTTATACACATACACGTACACAGAAGTTCATACCTGTACATCAACATACCTACACAAAAGGAGTTACCATGTAGTAAGAAACATTTAGAAATTACATTCATTGGCGAATGAACGTATAGAAATTTAATGAAGTGATTTTGCTGGATTAATGAATGGAAGGAAGATTTTATGACTCTCAGTCATGATGAGTGGATGAAAGACTTAATGGATGAGTGAAGGGTTAATGGGTGAATGATTTGAGATGGATAGAAAAATGCTTGGAAGGATGTATGTATGGAATGATTAATAGATAAATGAATGATGCAAGGGTTAATGAATGGATGGATGGAATGATGGATAGACAAGTAAATGGAAAGTTTATTGATAGATGTATAGATAAGTTAGACAGAGAGATATTTGTATTGAAAGTCTAATTAACAAATGGGTTTTTTTGGTGGATGAATGAAACAATGGAAAAATGAATGGATGGAAGGTATGGAAAGAATAGTGTGAGGCTGTGTGGAATTGAAGTGTGTGGGCAGTTAGAGATGGATGTATGTGTAACACTAGAAAAGTATCTACATAAATCGAAGAGGCAGAGACCTATGGGTTGGGTGTATGTGTATGTATAGGAAAATAAGTAAGATTGGCTATGAAGGCTTCAATGGGTACACAGGGTCACTCATCCATTAAAAATAAGAACAGAAGTAATGCAGTAGATACTCTAGAGTCAGATGGTTTGGGTTGAAAATAAAATGGTTCCACCACTTACTGGGTGATATTACCTAACCTTTCTCACCTTCAGCTTCCTCATTTATAAAATTACTAAGACATTAATAGGTCTCTCAAAAGAGTAATGCAGTAATTCATGTAGAGTAATGAAGGACCTGGGACATAGGAAGTACATTATAATCATTTTGTTTTCATTGTCGTTACTTACCATGACCTTGGAAGTTTCGCTCTATTGAAGCCAATTCTCCACGGCCACTGAACTCATCCGCTCGGTCTACCAGGGCCTCCTTCACTGCTTCATGTCCACATAAAATAACTACTGGCCGGGGACCCATGTACACGGTAAAGACTGAGCCGTATTTCTCCCTGAGCTGGGAGTGAAGGAAGACATAAGAGGAGGGAGCTGATTGCAGCACCAAGTATCAGTCAAAGATTTAGGGCAGCGGTTCTCAACCTGTGGGTCGCGATCCCTTTGGGGGTCGAATGACCCTTTCACAGGGGTCACCTAAGACCATCGGAAAACAAAAATATATTTACATTACGATTCATAACAGTAGCAAAATGACAGTTATAGAGTAGCAACGAAAATAATTTTATGGTTGGGGGTCACCACAACATGAGGAACTGTATTAAGGGGTCACGGCATTAGGAAGGTTGAGAACCGCTGTTTTAGGAGATGAAGATTTTAAGGGGATATGAATGTGGGAATAACATAAAGGTGAGTCTTGGGCTTGGCAGGACTATTGAGACAAAGGCACAGATGTGTTGCCTTTTGTTATCCTGGGTGAGACCCACCCCCCCAAACATCTCCACAAGCCTCAGTTTCCTCCTGTGAAATGATGGACCAGGATGAGATGAACTCCAAGGCCCATGCTTCTCTCTCTGAAATGTTCAGTTTCTAGAATCCTAAGATTTCATGATACTGAGCCTCAAAGTTCTACGATAACCAGACTGCAAGAGTTCTTGTGTTTAAGGATATTGGGCACTGTGATTCCAAAGTCCTGAGCCTGTGGGAGTCTTAAGTTCTAATGTGCTGAGAATCTATGTTTCCAAGAGTTTAAGATGCTGAAATTTCAGAATGTTAAAGTTCATAAAGTCTGTGTTTCCAAGAGTCTGTGTTTTAAAAGTTAGAAGGTTATACAAGTATCTGTTAATAAAAGTAGTTGCTTTCAGCTCTAAGAGAAGAGGTAGACAGACTCACCTTCATAAAAGACAGAAAGGTGGCATCTGTACGGACTTGTAACAGGTTCCCCAGGAAGGGTATCGGTGTGGGACCTGGGGGCAGCTTTCCCCTCTTGTTGATTTGCTTCCAGGCAATGAGGATGAGCAGACAAGACAAGCAGAGTGCTAGAAAGATGGTGAAGGCCCCTCCCAGCTCCATGGTACTGGGTCGAGGTGTTGTGTCCAGGGCATCAGATCCTGCCTAAATATGTTCTGGGAAATCAGCTGTGAAGAAATCTGAATACCCTGGGTATTCAAGTTTTCCGGGTATGGATACCGCCAGAGAAAAGATTACTTTGTCTGGGGGTGGTTATATAATTTATAATCTCCAGGTGGATTAAATTCACCCAGGGAAATCCACTGGGGCCATTCCCCTTTCTTCACATTTCAAGTCCCTCAGTTCTTCTCCCTCAGCTCAGCCCCTAGTTCAACATGTCTTGTAGAGAGTGGGAAGCAGCAGAACATCATTTTTAGGCTATTGCACTTGGAATTAAACAATCTGGGTTTAAATTTCAGCTGCATATTTTTTTCACTGGATAAGTTACTTAACCCTCGTGGCCTTAGTTTCCCCATCTGTCAAATAGAATAACCATACTGTTTTAGAAATTCTTTGCCAGAGCTTAATTAGTCAGTTAAAAAAAAATAAAAGCAGTGAGATGAAGATTTAGAATAACAAGAGAAATAACTCAATTGAAAGGGTTTTGTTTGACACGTTCTCGTTTCTACTCACAGTGATATTAAATAGTAAAAATCAAAGATTACTTGTGTTGATTTATTAGAACTTTGCTGGTATGTGTTGTGTTTTGTTGTGTGTGTGTGTGTGTGCCCATGCACATTCATTTTCAAAGTCTAAGATGTAGAGACCATCTCTGAGCCCCAATCTCTACAGGAGAAAACCACTTCAGAGGCTTGGTGACTGTTTTCTGAATAATCTAAAAGAATGGTTTGCAACCCTTTTTGTACCAAACATTTGTAAATCTTCTTTACTGCCCTGAAACCAAATTCCTGAGCATTATATCCTTCCTATACAATATGATTAAACAAAACCCAGTGTCTTTTTCACGTGTCTGGATTCTAAGACTTGGAAATTGAATCTCTTAGGGAACTCACAGGCTTTGGAATAAGGCTTGGCTGACTGGGCTGAGGCGTCCTGTGTTTGGAGGTGATGGGAATTTTGGGAAATCTGAACAACTTATAGAGCATCACCTTCTGGATCTTGGGTTTCCGACCAGGATGTCTCTCGTGGAGTAAGAGTCAGCTCTAGGCTGCCTCTTTTGACTCTCCCAGTTGTTGTCTCTCCCTTCCACTCTGACCTCCAGCCCAACACACACACACACACACACACACACACACACACACACACGCACACACACACCCCATTCAGGATGAGTATTTTAATTATCCATGATGGTGGTGGTTGTGAGTCTGATCTTACCATTTGGATAGGAAAGGAGAGAGAAAATATCTTTAGAACAGAAGCTGTCACCTTCCCACTCTAGGCAGGAAGCCAAAAATGGAGGCACAATAATCTGTTGTTTCCACAGTTTTTGTGTGTCAATGTAATTTGATGCCATCATCTATGTACTTACTAGGAAATTTCCCAGGTACTTCCACCTTCCCCCAATTTTTTTTTTAAAGATTTTTTTTAATTGGGGAATTGGGGGAGAGAACAGCATTGGGGAATAGGGTAAGGGGAACAAACAAGTTGCTGTCCTTTTCAGTCTAGTTGTGGAGGATGTCGCTTCACTGGCCCACGTTGGTATTATCATTGTGCTCTTCCTGGGTGAGGCAGTTGCTTGCCAGCCATTGGACAGCCACTCACAGTGGCTCACAGCAGCTCATGAAAGCTCACGCCAGCTGTCAGCCAGCCCCACTGGAGTCTATGCTGTTGCTGGTGACTCACGGCAGCCCAGCTCCAGGCCAAGCTGTAGAGGGCGCAGTTTCACTGGCCCTCATGTGGGATCTGAACTGGGTGGGGCCTTGCTGCTCAGAGCTGGCTCTCCCAAGCCAACTCTTAACGAATGCCGCCGCTTGGCCAGCCCTCCCCCAACTTCTTTTTTTTTAAGGATTTTTTTTATTGGGGAATTGGGGGAGGAGAACAGAGTTGGGGAATTGGGGGAAGGGGAACAAACAAGTTGCTGTCTTTTTGTTCTTCAGTCTAGTTATGGAGGACGTTGCTTCACTGGCCCATGTTGTATTATCATTGCACTCTTCCCAGGTGAGGCAAATCGGTAGCTAACTTCTGGACGGCCGCTCACGGCAGCTCTTGGCAGCTCACACCGGCTGCCAGATGCTCACACTGGCTGCCGGCCACACACGGTAGCTTATGGCAGCCCACTGCAGCAGGGGCTGCAGCCTACACCATCACTGGTGACTCATGGCAGCCCAGCTCCAGGTTGAACTGTTGTTCACCATCTTAGCTGTAGAGGGCAGTGTCACTGGCCCTCATGTGGGATCCGAACTGGGGCCCTGCTGCTCAGAGCTGGTGTCCCAAGTCAGCTCTTAACCAACGTGCTACTTGGCCGGCCCCCCAACTTCTTTTTTATAGCTCCTCTCGTTATGAAGCTCCAGCTTGGTGTTCCAGCCTAGAACCACATCATACCACAGCTTGAAGAGGCCTTAGAAATATTTTTAGCTCAGAGTTTCTCAAAAGGTAAGAAATGCATAATTTGATCCAATCTGAGCATGGAGTGTAGATTATCAGTTATGAGGTATTCCAAGATTTCTTGGAGAAAGGATGTATGTATAGAGTTGGATATTACCAGTGGTGATAATAAATACTTAACAACAGGTACAGCACAGACAGACACAGGGTGGAGATGGAGCAGAGTCTGGGAGGCCTTTTTTAGCTGCTGAATAGTGGGGAGATTGGTGAGGGGTGGTCCTGGACAAGTGTCTGAGTTAGATATTTACCAACCCCTGTCAAAGGATGCCCCTAACAAGTGGTAGGACCACACCAACATGTATGTACTGAATTCTAATCCTAGGCATTACCCTCCAGAAGTTCCCTTCTCCCCTTGGTAGGGGTCTCACCAGAGCTTGATGTAGGACTAGTTGGTGAGGGTCAGTGGTTTGGTGGAGTTTGTGCATGAGCCGATTATTAAATGTTCAGGAATTACGTGAACTGGTTGTGAAACAGTCGTAATTAAATTACATTAACTTAAAATTGAATATATTATATTTTTGAAAGAAGGAAATAAATACTTAAAGCTCATCACATCCTCATTATTTTACCGCTAGCTATGCTCTTGAAGTTATTTATTTCTATTTGTACTCAATGGTGAAAATATGATATGATGCTGTGGTTCTGCTCATCTCTTCCCAACTCCATGTTCAGTGATATCAGACTGGTCGGTTGTTTGCAATTGACTGTGCTGGGTGTACACAAAAAATATGTGCTACATCCATACACTGGGATACTATTCTGCTATTTAAAGAAACAAGTTTTTGATTCATGCAAAAACATGAATCTTAAATTCATTTAACTAAGTGAAAGAAGCCAGACCTCAAAGACATGATTGCATTTATATATCATTCTGGAAAAAGCAAAATGATAGGAATGGGAAAATGATTAGTGGTTGCTGAAAATTAGGGGATGATAGAATGGTTGACTACAAAGAAGATGTATGTGAAAATTTTTAGGGTGACGGAAATGTTCTGTAGGATCCTGTGCTGGTGGTTACATGACTTTATGTATTTGTCAAAACTCATAGAACTAACTGTAAATCACAGAAAATGAACTTTAAGTATGCTAACCAAAACCAAAACAAAACACAAAAACACATCAACCAGGATGTCAGGGGATCCCAGAATGATAGGCTGTGACAAATAAATCTAACTGCATTACACATTCAGTATGATGTGACCACACTGAAGGGGGTGATGGAAAAGTAATTAACCTAAGTAACTTTGGAAAACAGTTTGGACTGAAAACTGTAATGCTAAAGATAAACTCTACACTGTACATTAACATTGTAAATTGGTTTCTCATGGGGATACTGGTTAAAAATTCTGAAACTATTTTCCATGTATACTGGGGTTGAACAAATAAGTAAATGGATAATGGATGGTGGAAGCCAAATATCTCGTTGTTGGAGAGTAAAGTTACATACATACAAGCAAAAAGAAAAAGAAAAAGAAGGGATGCTAG